TTCTAGATGCCGTTTCTGGGTTTTTTTGTAAATTGGACTCCATGGGTGGAACATTTCCTCCCACTCACTTTAGATGACTTATTTACTCACTTCCTTGATATTCCTAATGCCACTTACTTTGACTATCCAACATATTGCTGAGTTATGCATTGTCCTAAAACTTATTTTCTTGCCTTTGAATACATATAATAAAATGTTTGAACAAGAAAAAGGTAGAAAGGAAAAGGAGCTCAGATACATATATATTTAGTTGGGCATTTCATACATTCTATTTAGGGACTAGCAATGGGCCATTGAACAACAAATTATGAAGAGGCATTTTGGCCTGGTTCTAAAGATCCTACCAGAAAAGTGCACCTGTCAGTTTATAGGGCGTGTACCTCCTTTAGGAATTTTTAGTGTGGCCCCTTGTCAGGGCTCCTGGGTATGACCAGTAGGTGTTGTGACTGACGCAGGGAAAAGCAGGCTTCAGATATGTTTATAAAACAATGTAATTTATTAACACTAACCATACAAACATAAACGCAGTGCAATCTCTAAAACATAACCACAGTGCAAACAAACACAACCAACCAACCAACCCACAGATAACAGTACATACAATGCAAGCGTCGTCAGGCAGGCCGGGTCAATAACAAACGGGCAGGTAGGTACAGGGGGGAGCAAGCGGAGAATGGTCGGGGTCACAGGCCAGGTTCAGCAGGTAGCGTAGGGCAGCGTGGTACAGAGGGTCAGACAGAGGAGAATGGTCAGACATGCCAGGGATCAGAGCAGGGTCAGCAGAGAATCAGACAGGAACAGAGAGCAGGAACAGGATACAGGGCCCAAGAGAAACACAACACCAAGGCGAAGTCTGCAGGTCTGAATGTCCCTTAAATACACCAGTATAATTTAGTTCCAGGTGTTTGACTGGCTGCAAGGTTGAGTCTCTGATTGCTGGGAGCACCCGCTGGCAGCCCTGGTACTGCAGCTCATAAGGCCAGCTGAGTCCACACTATTGCTGGCCAGTCCATTCTTGACAGTACCCCCCCCTCAAGGAGCGCCTCAGGACGCTCCAAACAGTCCTAGCTGGGCGCAAAAATGTTCCACCACCCGGGTCTGGTAACTGGCGGGATATCAAAGTACTGGCACACCGGGCAGGACTCTGGGCAGCGGCACACCGGGCAGAGGGCACATCGGGCTGGGACTCCGGGCAGAGGCACATCGGGCTGGACTCCAGGCAGAGGCACATCGGGCTGGACTCCGGGCAGAGGCACTCCGAGCAGCGGCCACAACCGGGACAGAGGCACATCGGGCTGGACTCGGGGCAGAGGCACATCGGACTGGACTCCGGGCAGAGGCCACATCGGGCTGGACTCCGGGCAGAGGCACATCGGGCTGGACTCCGGGCAGAGGCACATCGGGCAGAAGGCACACCGGGCAGAGGCACGCCGGGCTGGACTCCGGCAGAGGCACATCAGGCAGGACTCCGGGCAGAGGCACATCGGGCAGGACTCCGGGCAGAGGCACATTCGGATATTACCAGGCGAAGCAGCAGGCAGCGGACACAGGCGGAGCATGCAGGCCACCGGGCCCCAGGACGGGGCGGAGCAGGGCACCGGGCCCTCGGGCGGGGCAGCAGGCAGCGGGCCCCCTGGGCGGAGCAGCAGGCACCGGGCCCCCAGGGCAGAGCAGGTGGCACCGGGCGGGGCAACAGGCATCGGGCCCCCGGGCGGGCGGCAACAGGGCATCGGGTCCCCAGGCAGGGCGACCGGCATCGGGCCCCCAGGCGGGGGCGGCGGGCGCCGGGCCCCCAGGAGGAGCGGGACGGGCGGTTGGGCCCCCAGGCGGGGCAACAGACGTCGGGCCCCCAGGCAGGGCGACAGGCGTCGGGCTCCCAGGGGGGGGGACGGGGCCTGTCCCGGGCGGAGCGCGCGGGAGGTCGGAAGCGGATAGGTGGCATTGAACGTGGGGCGACGGGCCCCCAGGCGGGGCGGAACGGGCGTCGGGCCCCCAGGCGGAGCGAGCTCGGGGCGCCGGGCCCCCAGGAGGGGTCGACAGGCATCGGGCCCCCAGGCGGGGCAAAAGGCATCGGGCCCCGGCGGGGCAACAGGCATCGTGCCCCCAGGGGCTGGAGCGGCAGAGGCGCCGGACCCCCAGATGGAGCGAAGGTCTCGGGCCCTCAGGCGGAGCGTCGGGCGCCGGGGACCCCCAGGTGGAGCGACAGGTCTCGGGGCCCTCAGGCGGAGCGTGCGGGCGCAGGACCCCCAGGTGGACAAGCGACAGGTCTCGGGCCCTCAGGCGGAGCGGCGGGCGCCGGACCCCCAGGCGGAGCGTCAGGTCTCGGGCACTCAGGCGGAGCGACAGGTCTCGGGCCCTCAGGCTGAGGGCGGGCGCCGGGGTACCCCCAGGTGGGTCAGCGCGACAGGTTATCGGGCCCTCAGGGCGGGAGCGGGCGGGGCGCCGGATTACCCCCAGGTGGAGCGACAGGTCTCGGGCCCCCGGCGAAGCTTGGCGGGGATACCGAGTCACCAGGCACGACAGGTGGGCCCGAGTCAACTGGCATGACCAGCTGGCACTGGGTCAGAACCATTGGATCGTCTGGCTGGGACAGCGGGCATCGGGTCACCAGGCATCAAGTCTTTGGGCTCGACAGCGAAGCACCGCGTCATCTGGCAAGGAGTGGGCTCCGAGTCAACAGGCACGACAGTGGGCACCGGGTCCATCAGGTTACCGGGATTGTCTGGCTCGACAGCAGGCATCGGGTCAACCAGGTTATGACAGGGGCACTGGGTCACCAGGCATCAGGTCATTTGGCTTGCCAGCGGGGCACCGCGTCACCAGCATTGGATGTCTGGCTTCGACAGCGGGCATCGGGTCACCAGGTATGACAGCGGGCACTGGGGTCACCAGGCATCAGGTCATTTGGCTTGCCAGTATGGGCACCGCATTATCTGGCAAGGCAGTGGGCACCGGGGTCACCAGGGTCACAGCATTGGATCGTCTGGGCTACGACAGCGGGCATCGGGTCACCAGGTATGACAGCGGGGCACTGGGTCAACCAGGCATCAGGTCAATTTGGCTCGCAGGGGGGCACCGCGTCATCTGGGCAAGGGCAGTGGGCAACCGGAGTCACAGGTACGACAGCGGGCTCTGAGTCAATTGGCACGGACAGCGGGCACGGGATCAGGTACCGGATGCATCTGGATCAACAGCGGGCATCGAGTCAACTGGCCTAATAGGATCGTCAGGCTTGGATCAGTTCATCATGCTGGGGTAGAGGCATCAGGCTGAATGCAGGCGGTCCGGGCTGAGTAGATGGGCTTCAGGCCGAGTAGAGGCTTCAGGCGTAGGTAGAGGCATCAGGCTCTTGAATGCCGTGTACCCGGTGTGGATTGGAGTAGAGGCTTCAGGCCGAGTAGAGGCATCAGGCCGAGTAGAGGCTTCAGGCCGAGTAGAGGCTTCAGGCAGGCCGAGTACAGGCATCAGGCCGAGTACAGGCATCAGGCCGAGTACAGGCATCAGGCCGAGTAGAGGCATCAGGCCGCGTACAGGCATCAGGCCGAGTACAGGCATCAGGCCGAGTAGAGGATTCAGGCCGAGTAGAGGCATCAGGCCGAGTACAGGCATCAGGGCCGAGTAGAGGCATCAGGCCGAGTAGAGGCACCAGGCTGAGTACAGGCATCAGGCTGAGTAGAGGCATCAGGCTGAGTAGAGGCATCAGGCTGGAAGAGAGGCTTCAGGCTGAACCACGGAAGGCAGGTTCTCAGACGGTAGGCTCACCGGTTTGGATACTGGCAGGATGGTATTGGTTGGAAAGAATTTTCGCTTTTTTTCTGGTTTTAACTACTGGAGCACTGCAAGTAAACGCAGGTCTGCAAACGAATGGAGCAGCTGGAGACAGAGAAGAGCTGGAGGATGGAACAGAGGAGGGAGAAGTTGCTACAGAGGGCTTTTTTACAGGGTTAAAGGCAGGATAGGTGCAGCGAGTGGGAACAGGGTACTGACATGCGGTAGATAGCAGGGCAGGAGGAGCTGTTGGGAATGCAGGAATAGAGCTTTGAGGAAATAGATTAGAAGCAGGACTGGGTTTTTGTAAGCTGACTGAGGCTGGGTGCAACAAATCTGTCCATGTCTGCAGTATGGGTTGAACAAAGCTGAGCTTACACAAAGCCTCTGTGATGACCAAAGACTGCACTGCGTTTATACAATCTCTTAGTACCTGTGTGTGAACATGCAGCATAACGCTCCAAGAAGTAATCCACATCATCCTCTAATAACCACAACCAGGGACTCTACCTGGTCGGGTCGGCACTAAATGGCGGCAAAAATTCATCCCTGCATTCGGGGGTACCAGATGAAGCCAACTCAGCACAAACCTGAATCAATGGCTGCACCTCAGAGAACTCTGTGCCCTGATCTACTAGAACATGAGCGAGCCGTATACATTTCTAGCAGTTCATCCCGGGTATACTCCTTCAGAGTCTGATAAGAATACTCCCTGTCATTCAAACACTAGCAGATATAAATACACAACCTCATCCAGATCCATCCTTCCCATCAAACAAGCCAAGATGCTTCCCTGTGCAGCCACTTCTGGTCAGGATTGGCCTTGGTGTAATGTCAGGGCTCCGGGGTGTGACCAGAGGTGTGTGACTGACGCAGGGAAAAGCAGGCTTCAGATATGTTATAAACATGTAATTTATTAAACACTAACAATACAAACATAAACGCAGTGCAATACTAAAACATAACACAGTGCAAACAAACCAACCAACCACCCACAGATAACAGTACATACAATGCAAGCGTTTGACTGGCTGCAAGGTTGAGTCTCTGATTGCTGGGAGCACCCGCTGGCCAGCCCTGGTACTGCAGCTCATAAGGCAGCTGAGTCCCACTATTGCTGACCAGTCCATTCCTGACACCCTAATGTTATCGACTCCCTGATGAAACTCCAGATTTTCCAGGAAATGAAAGGTTTCTTTCCTTGTCGCAAATGTGTGAAATATAAAAAATTAAGGAATTTATGGGCAAACAAATCTCTAAAATTTATGATATGCAATCATTTATGACTTGCAGTACCACAAATATGATATACTGTATACACTATATTGTGACGTCTGCCTTTACACTCACATGAAACTTTATCAGCATCCCAGTTTTAGTCCATAGGGTTTAATGTTGAGCTGGCCCATCCTTTGCAGCTATAACAGCTTCAACTCTTCTGGGAAGACTGTCCATAAGGTTTAGGAGTGTGCCTATGGGAATGTTTGACCATTCTTCCAGAAGTGCATGTGTGAGGTCAGGCACTGATGTCAGATGAGAAGGCCTGGCTCGCAGTCTCCGCTCTAAGTCATCCCAAAGGTGTTCCATCGGGTTGAGGTCCGAACTTTGTGCAGGCCAGTCAAGTTCCTCCACCCCAACTCGCTCATCCATGTCTTTATGAACCTTGCTTTGTGCAGTGGTGTGCAGTCATGTTCCCCTGGCAACCACCAAACCCAGACATGTCCATCTGATTGCTAGATAGAGAAGCGTGGTTCTTCACTCCAGAGAACACATCTCCACTGCACTAGAGTCCAGTGTCATCGTGCTTTACATCACTGCATCTGACGCTTTGCATTGCACTTGGTGATATAAGACTTGAATGCAACTGCTCAGCCATGGAAACCCATTCTATGAAGCTCTCTACTCACTGTTGTGCTAATCTGAAGGCCACACGAAGTTTGGAGGTCTTTAACTATTGACTCTACAGACAGTTGCAGTGACCACGCTCTGTCACTTTTCATGCCCTACCACTTCGTGGCTGAGTTGCTGTTGTTCCCAGCTGCTTCTACTTTGTTATAATACCACTAACAGTTGACCGTGGAATATTTAGTAGCAAGGAAATGTTATGGATGGACTTATTGCACAGGTGGCAACCTATCACGGTACCACGCTTGAATTCACTGAGCTCCTGAGAGTGACCCATTCTTTCACAACTGTTTGTAGAAGCAGTCTGCATGCCTAGGTACTTGATTTTATACACCTGTGGCCATGGAGGTGATTGGAAATACCTGAATATAATGATTTAGAGGGGGTACCCCCAATACTTGTGACAATATAGTGTATGATCCAATGCCTGTGGTGGAGTAACATGTATTTTCGTTTGTCGTTACAGTTATTGTTGGGTTTGTCTATTTGTTTTTGGTTGTTTATTTTTTATGTTTTTGTTTTTTTATGTTTTTTTTTTTTTTTTTTTGTTTTTTTGGATATTTTGTTTTGGTTGTATTTTTTTTTTATTTTTTTTTTTTTTTTTTGTTTTTTTTTTGTTTTGTTGTTGTGTTTTTTGTGTTTTCTCTTTGTTTGTTTAGTATTTTTTGTTGTTTTTTTGATTTTTGTTTGTTTTGAGTGTTTTTTTTGGGTGAGTGGCGTTTGTTTTTTGTGTTGAGTTGGTGTGTGGTTTCTTTGTTTTTTTATTTTTTTCTATTTTTGTTTGTTTTTTTTTTTTTTTATTGTTTGTATGTTTTGTGTTTTATTGGGGGGTTTATTGTTTTTTGTTGTGGGGGATTTTTGGGGGTTTGTGGGGTGGTTTGGGTTGGATTGGGGGGATGAATTTCTGAAAATTTTCTGTAAAAAAAGCAGAATGTAACTTTTTTGTTTTTGAGCCACAAGATGCCCTGCTAGGGTTGCATGGGGGTAAAATTATAGGCCTTTTAGTATAATATGGGGCTGTCAGTGTAGCGTCTATTTCCTTGGTAACCTCTTTCTCTTTGATGATACGAGATGAAACCCTGAGGCGCCATCTACCCGTCTATGACAAAATAATTTTCTGTCTAGGGTGGGCAGCAACAGGACGTCATCCCTGGGGAATGGCGGAGTTTTTTTGTGGAGGAATGCCCGTTTTGAGGCCTTGGGGTGCTGTACAAGCAATTATGTGATATAGCATGTAAAATTCATAAGTTTTTAAAAGCAGGTTTTTTAAAACTTCACCATGATTGCACATTTTACCCTTTATTTGGTTGGCAGAACACGGTCATTGACAAATGTGATTGCGGTTCTGGTATCATTGGAGACTCTTTGTTTAAAAAGTCCCGACCATTAACACTTTAGGG